CTTCAACGGAATCCTCTTATTCGTGGCTTCAAGAGAATTCTCCTAAAACCAAAAAAAGAAAAGAAAAAATACTCTACGTACAAAGTTAGAGGAATCTCGTCATTTATCTACAGTCTTGTCTTCAGTGGAAATTTTTCTAGTAAAAGGGCACTCTGTTCCAAGTAAATGTAAATTAATATTCAAATGTATTGAAAAAGAAAAAAGTTATAATAATATCTAGTGGATTTCCGATTAATAGTTTACTTCATTAGAAGAAGAATACTCTTGCAATTGAAGTTGGAGTTCTTTTTTGGCCGCTGGAACATTTCTCTCTTAGTTTTAGCAGAATCCTCTTGAAACCCCGTATGTGTGTGAGTGGATTCCGCTAAGAATGAGATTGTATCTTTTTTGGGTGTACCCATCTAGACGGGGGACATTTAATTCAAAGAAACGAGCGAAGAGAATAAAAGGAAGCGGGAATAAAAAGATTTTAATCTGCTCGAATTCATTCGCTACGCATTTATCATCGTCTATGAGGCAGAATTCGCGCGTTTACAGTCGCGAGGGCGATCGCAATTAGAATGCATTGCGACACTGCGTATCGACCGGAATCGCATGCGGGACGCGCGCGAAAAGAGGATCCGACGAGCATTTTAGAATGTTAAGTGGCCGCGCTCGCTCCCTCGACCACAGAGTGCAATTTAACCGCCCACGGTGCGAGACTCCTCACGCGCGCGCACGCTTTTCATTACGAATACAGCAACCCCTGCCGCTTTTCGTGCCATCGTCCTCCGCATATCTCCCTTCGCCGTGTGTCTGGACGTCATATATAAGCTCGTCTATCTAAACCGCCCCGTCGAAGCATCCAGTTCATCCGGCACCCTTCGCGTCCGTCATCGCGCGCGTCACGGGATCAATATTAATCTCCTGATCGGTTTTCCGGTTCTCACTCGGCGCGTTTCACGCGAGAAGCCGATTTTTACGGAGCGACGGGCTCAATGTGTAAGGCAGAAGTGTCAGTTCCTGGACACGCACACGACCCTCACTTCCTCCCACATAAATAGCGGACAGTATCCTAACTCTGATATGAGAAACTCTGAATATTCTTATTATGTTTTGGCCTTTGAATATAGATATTTATTATGTAGGATGCTGTATATATTCAATGTATGTTTTATGCTAAAAATTTAAATATTTATAATAAAGCCGAAAAATGAACTGTCCAGAGTTCCTCAAGTCAGAGTTAGGACACTGTCCGCCATTTATAGAGAGGAAGTGAGTGAGCGAGCAAAACTGCTTCGTTATTTCAATCGTAGAACTTCTCTCGCTCACTCACGTCATTCCTAAAGATGGCAGACGGGATGCAGACCAATCGTAAATCATCATGCCTTGTCCCAAATCTGATTAGAGGAATTCTAAGATTACCTGAGATTACGGTACTCATTGGTATTTTTACTTTATGAGGAACTTTGCGAGAAACTCTTTGCAGCGAATTTCGTCCTCTTTGGGCGAAAAGGGCTGAACGAAAACGGTATTTCCCTCGTCTCTTTTTCCCCCAGCAGTTTCATTGTGGCGGGCCAGAATTACCCGTACGATCGATTATCTTCATAATGAAAACAATCGCGCCGACGTAATAAGTGGAACACGTAGAATCTCGTCGCGGCTAACTCGGCGAAATTCGACTTTACACGGTGTGGTAAACGTACCAGCTGTCTCAGCGAGAATCCCGCGTTCTGCCGCGCGGATTTAACCCCCGCTAGGTGTCATCATCTCTCCTCTTCCATCAAAGTCAATAAAACAAGACACGCCATTATTTCTACGAATGTTCTTTAACGTCCGAGTTTCTCCCGCTCCCTCTTTCTCTTCCGCTCTCCCTTCCCTTCCGGCGTTTACCGCGGAAATAATGCGCGAATTTGGTACTTTACTTTTTTTCATAACTACCACGAAGTACACTTTCAACGAGCAGAGACTCCAAACGTTCTCCGCCGATATCAGCGCGCGCGAGCGTAAAAGGAGTCTAAGGAACGTCAACTGCGTGCTTCGTTTGACCGATGTCATTTCGCTCGAGCCGTTCCCCATTTCGGTCGATTCCACCCCTCCCCCTTTCCTCGCTCTCCACCCAACTAGCAGCTTTGAGAGATCGTAACTTTGGTAAGGCTGCTTAAAAAGTACACGTCCTGTCCATTGTTACTCACGTCCATTCTTCTTTCCAGCTCGCGAAGAAATGCTCGCGAATCGTTTTCCCGTCGTGCTTCGCTTTTCCGTTGTACGTCAGTTGCTTTCGAAATGGACAGACATGGACGCTGTTTGGAAAGATACCAATGCGAACTGTCCGTTGATTCTTCTTGAAAAGCTCGTGCGGTGTGTGTGGGTAGTCGCGCACCACTTGGACCGGTCTTTTATTCAAAAGCCTTTCCAGGACGCAATTACGCGGCAAGTGAAACGTGTCCCGTACATTTGAGCGGCTCCCCTTTCCCTTTTTTTTAATGCCCCAGGTCGTTACGACGTTAATAACTTCATACCAGTCGTGCAAAAGTAATTAATTCCTCAAATTAACTCATTTACACGTATCCGTGTGTATCAAGGGATGCATTCTAAAAAAAAAAAAAGAAAGAAAGCGACGGAGATTTTAAATGGACAGGAAACGGGGGGAGGGGAGCACACACTAAAAGAATCTGACGGTAAATGAGTAATAATGAAGCGAAATCACACGAGGTACACACGCGCGTACGCACGCACGCACGCACGCACGCACACGCACACGCACATGCAGCACACGTATACACGTATGAACGGGCGCTATTAATTTTCCTCGTGGAGAGCGCGAGAGTAAATTGGTAAAATAAACGCGGAACAGGCGAGTCACACGTAACGATTACAAGACGTACAAGATAACGCAATTTTTGCGGGATAAAAGAGAGGAAAACGAAAAAAGACGACGTGTCCCGACTGGCAACGCACGTTCTTCAAATTCCGTTTCCGTCTGGTTTCCCGCGAGATTAATGCGCGCGCGCGCGCGCGCGCGTGTGTGTGTGTGTGTGTGTGTGTGTGGGTGTGAGTGTGGGTATAGGTAGGTAGGTGGGTGGGTGGATGGGTGTATGTACGTGTATTTGTGTGGCAGCCTGTCTACACCTCAAAGGATCTTTAGCAAAGTTTGCCAAGATCAGATGGTACGGCAACGACACGACGTACACGACTGGCCTTTAATTAATTCCATCTGCAGCGCCTCGATTTCGCGTGAACCTAATTGGAACGTTATTCCAAAGCAGGTGCGAAGTGCACGCTCGCCCGATTACAGTAATTTGCGATTTTAGGAGTTTCGAGCGGTAAATCCTCCGCGTGGTCGCGCGCGTTAAGCCTGAAATTGTTTCCCCTCCTTTTTCTCCCGCCTTTCTCGCACACGTCGCCGATTATCTCCGGAGAGTCGAGTTAGAGACTGGCGCGAATTAACGAGAACCCGCGAGCGAGCGTGATATTTTGTTCTCACTAATTCTCCACACGGTGATTGGATTTAATCCCGGGATTCGAACTTCCTCTCGAGATGGGACGACGATTATTAGATTCAAGTCGCAGAAGTGGGTCGCGCAGTAAATTGCATTACTTGAGCTTTTGTAGCCGTGCGATTTCATAAATCGATAGAGGTCGACGAGAGAAAAATTTGAGTTCGCCGCTGGTTTCCATTACACTTTGCGGCCAATTTCGTTAGGAGAACTCGTGACGGACAAATGCTTACCAAAAAGTCCGAGTGATTTAGCATTTCCCACATGAAGAGCCGTGTATGCGTATGTATGTTGTTTGATTTATTGTGTGCACGGCGCGACTCTAAGGGTGCAGATTTATCGGCGTGAGAGTCCGACGATTCGTCAGATCACAAGGCGGTTTCGCGCTAAAATCTCGTCGCGTCGGTGATATCGTTCGCGAGTGCATATCGTTGCACGGATCGTCGTCTGTCCGACGTGTTTCACGGTAATACCACTACTGCGTCGACGATCAGCCAAGATGCTAATGGTTAGGCACTCACGTTACATTAAAGCCGGCTTTAATCACGCCGCTCGTCGAGTCTGATTTCGTACAGAAGATAAAACGGCAAACCGTCGGCACACCGGGATTGCCTTTCGAGGCAGCGAATTATTTCTTATCGAGCGTCATTTCGACGTAGATCGTCGCAGCATTAAAAAATAAAAGCGGCGTCAGGAGGAATTTTCCGCGCTTCCAGCTGTGTGTTTTGCATCCTGACAGTCTGGGGGATCGAAAGAGACTCGTTATCTCGACGACTCTGAAAAGAATATCGACACTTGCGCAAAAAGAATCGAGTGGCGAACACCTCATTAGCGTTAGGCGCCATCTAGCTGTGCTGTTAGCCACGCGTATTATTCACGAGTAAACCCGAATCGGACGTGCTAGTCTGGTTTCCTTCGTTTTACTCTGCAACACGGCGCACATAGATACCGATTACGGTTAAAGGCGATACGTCCGCTGATCTAGTTGCTACTATAGAGTTGTCCTGTTGTTGCGGACTACCGCCAGTCTCTCGACGCTCCGTTTTTTCATTCCTTCAACAGTTAGATATCTTCTTGCTCCCTGTGCGCTTCTGCGAACACCAAGTGCATCTCAAGACATGCACTAAAAGTTCATTTCAGAATTATTATTATTATTATTATTATTATTATTATTATTGTTCGTGATTATTGAGCAGTTGAGCGCAAGTGTGCAGTTGGGCGCGAGCCGAAGCATGATGTGACGAACGTTGCAACACGCGTGGGACACGGCGCACGATGTCGTCCTAGATTCGCGCTTTGCGGATCTTCCCTTTGGACTTGAAATTCAGATCTTTTCCCCGAGAAATCCCTTCTCACCCGCGACTCGTTGTCGCGCTTTGCGCGCGTTTCACGCTGCACCACCGACTGCACATTCGCGCGTCAGAGATGAATTACTTGGGCATGGCGTTCGAACGTTTCAACGCACGCGCGCTCTACACAGACGACGAGCTTAATGCCGGCTGCTTTTTCTGTCTCACGTAGGTCGATCTGAGACACATGGACGAGAAACCCGGGAGCAACGTGGTGGACGTGGGAGTCGACTTGTCCGAATTCTATATGTCCGTAGAATGGGATATTCTAGAAGTGCCTGCAGTACGGTAAGCCTCTCACATTTTCACATAAAAGGAGGCTACTTCTTTCATGTTCTGTTCAGTCAGTCATGACAATTAGTTGTCTCAGGGATTGTAACTTCGAAATTCCGAAATATGGGAAATACGGTCTCCCCTACGCACACTAACATAAAATATCTTTTAAATAAGAAAATGTACACTTTTCTTAAAACCTTTGCTTTTGATGAAAGCTATTTCTACATAGTTTTATTTAAATAAGATAATTTAGGTAAATCTGTTATCAGTATCCACCGAATATAAATATTTTTTTTATTTTCTAGATATTTTTCTTTCAAACACTGTGTAAATATCTCGGTAATATTAATTAAGCTGCAAAATCAAAACCACGGTAGCCACTTGAGATTAAACGAGTAGGATATTTTTATCTATTTTCATCCGCTAGTACATAGTAGCGCTTCTATTTGATTAAAATGCAAATGTGTCGATTAAAAACACGAACTGTAAACATGCATACGCATTAAAGCTTGCAGTCGGTATCGGAAAATTTAGATAATATCAATATGAAGCTCGCTGCGCGCAGTTAATTCACTTTGTCCGGATGAAATCTCGATCTAATCTACGAGATCCTCGAGTAATGGCGTAGGCATCAAGGACTTCAAAGCGCGCCAAGCGGGGAGAGGCTTCTCTCTCCCTCCCTGTCTCTCTCTCTTTTCTTATGAAATTCCTCGCCGTATTCAATATATGCCCGCCTGGCATATGCGAGCGGCTGCTTCCGGGCATAGTTCGATCCCCCGGATATTCAGCGTTAGCGAGATGCAAACGAGAACCGGCTTTAGCTTCCGGAAGCCGCTACCATAGCGGAATGAACGTTTGCGCGGACAATCGAGGCGAGTCACCGCTCGCTCGAGGGATGCTCGTGATGCCTTCACACATAAATTGTCATAACATAAGACTTACCGTAAGAATTGACCAATCACGTTGAGTATCGTTAAATTGTAAGGTCACCATTTTAGTGAATACGCAATTGTAATTAAGACCTTCACACACACTTTCCGTAACAGTAACCGTAAGACGTAACGTATGAATTGACCAATCACGTTGAGAATCGTCGAAACATAAGGTCGCCATTTTTGTGAATACTCCATCGTAATTGGTCAATTCTTACGTTACGTCTTACGGTTACTGTTACGGAAAGTGTGTGTGAAGGCCTTTAGTCAATTCTTACGGTACGTCTTACGTTACGACAATTTGTGTGCGAAAACTCTTAAAGTCGAGACGCCATGTTTTAAAATTATTACGGAATATTTTTGTGCATTATCGATATCGTGTCTCCGATATTAGGCGAGCACCGATACTGATATCGGTGTCTCATTCGATTTAATCGTCTCTGCTGATCGCCGCGTACCTTAAGGAGGCGGAATCTTCGCGAGAAATACCGATCGATTGGCAGCGCGGAAATTTAATCTCGTCGCTTTCGCGCCACGTCGACGCGCATCTCGACACGCCAAGAAGAAAGAGAGAGAGAGAGAGAGAGAGAGAGAGAGAGAGAGAGAGAAAGAGAGAGACAGAAGAGGTATAAAAATTCAGGCCAACTTTTTTTCAAAGAGTCGCGGAATTCTTTTCTTACGCATCAGGGCGTCTCTTTAATCTCCCTTCGAAAATGAAACTTTCGGAAATTATAAAAAGCAATTCTAATTTATTCACGCTAGAGACGACACGCCCGCAGTCCCAGGTTTGCGGGGCGTCGTCGGGGTGCGAGAAGTAAGGAAGGGCCGACCCGAGTTACCGACTTAGAGGGATATTCGGTGGGAGTTATACGACCCCGCGGAACTTTCCTCATAACTCTCGCTCGCGTAGCCGGCCCTACTTACTTAAAATGTACTTATTGTCGGGGCACGACATTCGCGCCGCCTCTCTGTAAAGAAGAGAGAGGCAGGATTTTTACGCGCCGCGAGGAGAGGAGAGGAGAGGGCGCAATCTTCTGTTTCTTTACTTTATCGCCGTAAATTCCAGCCGTTCGTCGATCCGGCGATTAACCGCGACGTTCTCGGCGTCGTTTCTTTTTTGCGCAGAAACGAGAAGTTTTACACCTGCTGCGACGAGCCCTACTTGGACATCACGTTCAACATCACGATGAGGAGGAAGACCCTCTTCTATACGGTGAACATCATCATACCCTGCATGGGAATCTCGTTTCTCACGGTTCTCACGTTTTACCTGCCCAGCGACAGCGGCGAAAAGGTGAGACCGCTCCCTATTCCTTCGCGTCCGCAAATATTTGCGTTCACTCGCTTTTGCAAGTTGATCAATCGGTTGTCCCGCTTTCGGGAACTGTACTGAATTTATCATAAGTATTTAACGTCGTAATATTTTTCGCAGTCATACACATTTGACTGCGCTTTCATTTCCGAGCTTTTCGAGTCTCTTTGCATTTTTCCACTTAATTCCAGGCGCGGAAACACTTCTGGCCGTGTGAGATACGTAGAAGAATTTTACAGAGTATCTCATATTAAATAAGATGTCTTGGCGTAACAGCGGGCGCCCCCCGCGACTCCCATGTCTCCAGAAATACATAACTCGCGGAGATAGATACGTTTCGGAGAGTGCCGCGATTAATCCCTTTATTCTCGCGAACGACCGCACGGAGAGGGGAGCGAACGTGCGTGAAATATGCGGCGAATTAGTTCTCTTCCGCGTGTCTGTCGACCTCGTTATTTTCTCTTATCTGTAGGCAAGAGCTAGTAGTAGGTGGTTACTTTTGGCTCGACGGCGCCGGCGATTTTTCATTTCCACCCCGGCCTCCGCTTCCCTCTCGACTTTCCTATCCACCCGCCGACTCCACGCCTGTTCTCGCACTCGTTCGAGAAGAAGGGTTCTCTCCTCTTTTCGCGCTGTCAATGTGTAACACGCGGTGCCAGGGAGACGGATGTCCCAAATAACCGCGGCATTGGATATTCTCGTACGTGCCTCGGACATTTCTGAATATCCGTCGAATAATCTTGCACATTTCTCTGATATCGTTCGGATATCTTTGGACGGATATTCTTAACTCGGGTGGGAGAGATTGTCAATCGTTTGTTTTACACGAACAAATTTTGACGACAAATTTGTAGTATTCTCGCAAGAGAAAAACGCGTATCATTCTATGGAAAGAGGAAAGATTTTCCAGACTTTATAAATATATATCATATCTTCTCTCTTCGATCGTTATATCCTGCTAATATTTCTCTGCAGAAAAGAGAGAATTTTCAAGCGCAACAAAATGGATATCGCAAATCTAGCAATTGAATAATTCTTCGTCCAGAGGTAAAATGTGCAACTCGACATTTTTAAACATTTAAGAGAAAAAAATATTCGATGGATATCAACAACATGTTTATTTAAATCTGAATTCTTTTACTTAAATAGAATAAACATTTGCTTGCATGAAAAGGCTAAAGTTTCAAGAAAATTTATATTTTCTTATTTGAGAAATATCTCGTATTAGTATAAGTAAATGTATTAAAGTAACATCGTCCGAATAAACATCTTTTATTCTTTTTCTCTCAGTGTATATAAATTTTCTTAAATTTTAGATATCACACTGATATCCTCGGTTTTGCACATTTCTTTGATTTTATTCGAGACATCTTTAGCGTTGGTTATACTTTATATGTACTCCATACCGTCCAATTTTCTCCGGGTGATGTACGTTTCGGCGAAAGATTTATCCCGCGAGAGTGATGCTCTCGCCGCTGACATCCTTTCCGAAGCGTCCTTCTTTGCGCGGAATTATCGATGTAGGAGCGGTATAAAAATGGTACACATTCCATGTCCGCGCGCGCAATGTAAAAAAAAAAGAAATTAGAAGATTTAAGAAAATTAGTATACTGGGAGAAAAAATAAGAAATAAAAGATATTTACCCGGTCAGTATTGTTAACATATTTATTTATATTAATACGAAATATTTTTTAAATATCCCGTACTCTATCCTCCTCTTTTTCTCTGTTTCTCTATCTATCTCTATCTTTTTTCTCTCCGTTAACGTCCCGGACGAGCGACTTGCCACAAAGGTTACTCGTTACGTTGAACTGGCAGTGTAAAATGTTTTTTCTTCCCCATCTCCAGCCGCTGGCTTCTTTGTTTCTCCCGTCGGGTCGAATACGCGGGCTCAAGTACTCCTCGTTTCTCTGCTCTTCTGGTTCTCTCGCTTTCGCTGAACGAGCATGGCTATTAGTCGTGCTCGCGCGTAGTTGAAGAACTATCGACCGCGTGCGCGCGCGCGCGCGTGCTCGTAATTAGCATTCGTCATTATGAGGAAGAAAAGCCGAGCGGCGGTCGATTGCTTGCCGAAGTATCGCGGAAAAACGTGATACGAATGTTTGCGCGATTCCGGCGCGCTTTTCCCTCCTCTCGTCGAGCCCCTCCCGGAGTCTATCGATGCAGAATTGTGAATTTGTCACAATCGGTTCCTTTACGCGCACAAAAATCGGTTTTTTTATCCTCAAAAGCGAACACACGTTTGAAAGATCTTTGCACGAGTTTTTTCTCGAGTACAAAGTGTCGTTTTTAGCGAGATACAATTAGAGCAGAGTGATTTTCCACGCTTACACGTTGCCTCTCGTTTTCCTCTCGACTATATAGATTCCCCTTAATCATCTTTTGCATTTACTTATCGAACATATCATTTTCCGGCTCTGATCGTACAAAGAATATTTGCACGGGGCATATTTAATCGAGGTGCTCTCGTTGCGGCCGTTCCGCTGGGAAAAGGGAGAAACACAAGCACGCGCACTCGTATTCCATATTCGCGCTATTTGGCGTTTCTGTGGAACGCCGCGGGTGTAATTCGACGGAGAAGCACGAAGTCAATCATTCATGCTATCTTTAACCGTTTATTGATTTTGCTTCCGAGAGGCGGCCGGCGCAAGGAGGAAACGCCAATCCATTATGCATTTGCATCCGCTATTTTCGAGCAAAAATACGAACACGAGAGATAAGCTCTGTATACTTTCACAAAGGATTCGTCTGTAATAAAGCGTATGAAATATCGCGCAATGGATTTATATCCCTCGAGCCACTTTTTATCCGCCTGCTCGCGATCCCGCCGCACGGCCAATGGAAATGACAACTCGATGAGAATTACAATCGACTAATACGTAATATTAATGGAAGAGGATCAGAGACGTGCGCGATACACATTGAGAGAAAAAAATATCTAAGAAATAATAAATATTTATTCGGTGGGTGCACTGATAACATATTTACTTGCATTCAATATAAAATATTTTTCAAGTAAAAAAAAATATAGATTTTTCTTAAAATCTCAAGAGAAAACCTTTAGCTCTCCTTTCACGAAAGCAATTATTTCATTCTATTTAAATGAGAAAATTTAGATTCCAGTGAATATGTTATTGATACCCACCAGCGAAATATGTATTATTTTTAGATATCTTTTTTCCCCTCAGTGTAGAAGCAGCGATTCCTCGCAACGCGAAGAGAATCTTCGCGAGCATGACATTATGTGCGAATTTCGGGAGGTTCTCACACGAGGCTAACTGTTTCGCAATCGTGCGTGTTGCGGAATTGTCGTGCAATTTTTAGCGGCACTTTTGGGAATGCGAGACGGCGCGCTACGGTTGATGCGAACGTCCGACGAGGAGGTGGCGTGAAGAATTTGCGAACGACTTTTCGCGAGAGCATCTCTCGTTTGGATGGCTGTCGAGTCGAGAGCTGCTATCGCTATTCCGCGTTCCGCGAATACGGCTCCTCCGTCATGGAAAAACGTGTCGGAAAAATGCAAGAAAGAAAAATGCAAGAAAATACAGGACGTGCCAGAAGCCGCGCTCGTCTCTTCAGCGAATATATATTAGACTAATTGCGAAAAACACGGTCCTGCTTTAATTATCAAGACACAAGTATAGCTCTGTACATTGGGAGAAAAAAATCTAAGGAATAAAAAATATTTGTTTCACAGTGGGTACTCTGATAGCGCATGTTTACTTATACTAATGTGAAATATTTCTCAAACGAGAGAGTGTTTTCTGAAAACATTAGCTTTTCACGAAAGTATTGTTTATGTTATTTAAATGAAACAATCTAATAAATATGATATTAATAACCACCGCGAATAAATATTTTAACTTTCCCAGATATTTTTTATTTTCCCGATGTTTTTTCTCTTTTACAGAGTGTAAAATCCAGAGTGTACCATCGGAAATTAAAAGCGACCTAGTCGGTCTATGTTTCAAACACGTAAATAGTTTTTGTCTGGGATTCCACTGTTTTCATCGGGTGACAATGTTGTATCGATTTTAAATCAATCAAAACGCGACTAAAAAATTAGTGATTTGAGTGTACGATCGTGTTCAAATATCGGCTGAAAAAATATACGAAAATCAATAGGGATAACGAATTGTATCCGTCGCGCAGATCGTCTGCGGAATCGTATCGCGGAGAAATCAATCCCGCGCTAAAGTGCCATAATTCTCCATAAAAGTGCCATCTTTGATACGGCATGTACACGACTTGAGCGTGGAAAGACGCCACCATGAAGACCTCGTGAAATATTAAAGGCGCCCTTATTGCGATGGTTACACACGCCTCGGAAGCTCAGCGACCTAAGCTCCACGTTGTAAAACAGTTTTATACTTGCGCATTTTTTTACAAGTCTGCCTGCGAGCGTCACGTTGCGCTCAATAATACTTTATTCTTCTCTCTACATGAGAGAGCGAAATATGTGCGTTGAACGCTTTATTATCTTGCTCTATTATCTTTGCGTCTCTTAATTAGAGTCCCGTCAATTAGCTGCGATCGCACGATGACGCTTCCAAAGTCTCCACTCGACAAAAATCGTTCCCTCGAAATCGACGCTTCGACGGATCTGCAAATAGCAGAAAGTGCAAAAGCGCGTCGCGCGACGGCGGGGCAATTTTTTATAAAATATTTACGCGCGCTCCAGAAAAACCTTCAGAAAAAAAGAACGGAGAGAAGAGGTAGAGGAGAAGAAAAACAAATACACACAGACCCACACGGCGCGGAGAGATTTTCGGAAAATAAAGCCGCGGGCGCGCGTCCACTGCAACTTCTAGGCACGTCAATCAAGCGAGGAGAATCGATAAGCAATATCGCGGTTCGGTGATTGACCCGCAGCGACTGCGTCTCGCCGAAATTGCATACCGCATGCATTCCCCGTCTCGTCCCTTATGACGTACGTGTTTCATGACTCCGCGCGCATCGCCTCGCGTCGCGTCGCATTTTG